CCCAGGGCCTCGCACATGCCAGGCGAGCGCTCTACCACTGAGCCACAACCCCAGCCCCCCCGCCAGGTTAAGATTTTGATTAAGTAAAGAAAGAGGAATAGAGACTATAAAAGCATAAACAGCATACATATTCTAGAAGTGTAGATACTTAGTTCCCTAAATCCAGTATGATCAGTGCTGCTGTAAGGTATGTATGATTTTATAAAATGTTCTAGAATCCAAATGAAACCTAACTAGTTCTGGAGAGTGCGAGGATGTCACAGCAAGCTACAGAGAAGAGGTGTGGAGTAGTTTGCCAGGGCTGCCACTGAGTGGTTTAAACAACAAAATTTTATTGTTGCTGCTCTGGAAGGTGAGAAACCTGAGATCAAGGTATCAGCATGACAAATTCCTTCTGAGGGCTATGTCCCAGCTTCCCTCAGTCATCTCAGACGGCAACAGAAACTGAATGGAAACTGCCCTCCAAACCCTGGCCCTAGAAGGATGCAAGCAGGACCCTGCAGAACCACACTTGCTGCCAAACCACAGCTTGTGTGTGTGTGTGTGTGTGTGTGTGTGTGTGTCTGTTGTCTGTCTGTCTTAGGTTTCACTGGTGTCCTTCCCATATGTATGGGAGAGAATTTTTCTAAACAAGCATCTCCTGGTCTGGTCGAATCAAGATAAACTCCTTTCCTGTTTCACTACCAACTCTGTCTCTGTTAACTGGACTCTTCAGACAGCAGTAGCTGGACCTGGTCCAGCCCCAGCCTCTGACCCAGGACACAAGTAACAGTAGGACGTTTTTTGTGTCACTATGGGTAGCTGATCCTTTATTCTGTAGTCAACTAGAAGCTGCCTACTGTTTGTTTAAAGCTACTTCCATTATTTTTTCCTAATTACGGAAGCACTGGGTGTGTGTGATTGAAATATCAGTTGGACTTCTCTACCACTTGAAAATCTAGTATGGCTTGAACTCCAAGTTCACCTCCTGTCAGAATCCAGGGCTTCCCCTCGTCCTCCTTGATAACGTTACGATTCTTTTCCTGTGGCTTTGCTTCCTACTACATCAGCTCAGATGGAGAAGCCCCATTTCTCCAGTTTCCATTTTTAAAAATCCACCTACCAATTCATGAATTGAAAAAAAAAAAAAAACTTCAAGATTTGAGAGGTTTTGGAGAGACTCGTAATTTTGTCATCTCTCTGACTTTATTCCTCCCTCCTCTTCCTGGAGCTAGGAATTCATCCTCATTCCTTATGCAGAACAGCTCTGCCCACCTTCAGCTCATTTAGGCTCTCATTTTCTGTGCCAAGCACTCGTTCAGGTATTTTTCCTAACAGAATTCTCTTCTCGTGACAAATTCTGAGAAAAAAAGATTCTTTCCTCGTATGTATTTTTAAAAGAACCTAGAAAATACACCCAGAAAAGTTTTAAAATTACCCATAATATTACAAAACTTTTAATGTGTGTCCTTTGATACAGTCTTCATTGTATTATACAACTGAGCTCATTCTTTATTTTTTTGTATTCTGCTTTTATACATTTTAAAAAAATTCTACTATGAGAAATTTTCAGTGTTCCCCAAATTTGTCTGAAACCTAATTGTCAACGATTTTATAATATTTTGTCATATTGGCGAATCAATTTGCTTAGACCTTTTTTTTTGTGATCTGGGGAGTTAAACCCAAGACCTTCTGTATGCTAGGCAAGAATTATAAAAAATATTTTGATACATAGATCTTGATCTGCATTGGGATAGGTATCCAGATGAGAAATTAGTGAGTCAAAGAATAAGAACATCTTGAGGTTTAAGATGCTTATTACTAAATTGCTTCTAGAAAAGGTTCTTAAAAAAGAGTGAGTACCATGATCAGATATGTGATTTTTTTAACAGATAATTCAAATTTAGGGAAAAGAGAATTTGAACTGAACAGTAGCAGCAGGTTTTGGGAGGATATAAACAGGAGTAAGGGTTAGTGATATTTCTAAGTAGAGTCAGAAGAACTTCATAAGGAAGACATGGGGAGTTAGAAGTAGTGATAAACCAAAGATAATGTCTTCCGTTCTAATTTGCCTAACGAGGTAATACTGATGTTTTTAATACAAAAGAGAGGATGGTAAGATGTGCAGATGTGTAGGAGAAGATGCTTGGATACTTAGACTTGGATTACATACCAGTTGTTGAAGGTTTTAGGTGGAATCTAATAGGCAAGTGGAAATATGGTTAATGGTAGAGAACATCTGCTGTTTTTTCTGCCTGACATCTGGTGCAAGCTTCAGGATTTTTTTCAGAGGAGGCTCTTTGGATGGCAATCTGGCTAGGAGTCTTGTCTTAAAGGTGCATTTATTTACCAACACCTGTTTTTTTATTTTTAATTAATCTGCAGGTATTTTTGATTTGGTAAATGAAGATGGGATAATGAAGCATTCAAATAAGTGCTGACATCTATTCCTCCGTATTCTGATGATACCACTTTAATTTTCCTTGTTTTGATCACTCCCCCTCTCTCCCTTCCCATGACTTTGGTGCATCTGTCACTACTCTGTGGCTCCGGATCCAAGGATGGTACATAACTCAAGTCACCCAATCAGAGCCAAGGGGGCTGAAGTCTGAAGTCTCCAGGGGAACTGTTGGGAGTCGCCCAACAGTTCTTTCAGGAACCACGGAGAAAAAGCTGTTTTCACGGGGATTGCTGAGGGGTGGTAGAATGTATAACTGGAATTGGTGGCAGCTATTTTGCTTGTCTGGCAATGGAGTTAATCCAAAGCAGACATGAATGAATTCTGGTTATTTGGTTCTAATGGCATCACTTGAGTTCTAGGGCCTAGGCTCACTGATGCCAATTCTAGGGCTTTTCAATCTTATGAGATATTAAGATTTATTTTTATCTTAACTCATCTTTAGTGGTTTTGTCATGTACAAACAGAGTCCTGACCAATACAGTACTGGATATCAGAAAAGGCTCATGTTATGAAAGGTCCAAGTATTCATGAATAAAATAAGAGGAATCATATTATGACAACATAACATTTTGTTTTATATATATATATATATATATATATATATATATATATATATATATATATATATATATATATATAATTTAAATATTTAGTTTTTGGTTGTAAATGGACACAGTATCTTTATTTTATTTATTTGTATGTGGTGCTGAGGATCGAACCCAGGGCCTTCCACGTGCTAGGAGAGTACTCTACAGCTGAGCCACACTCCCAGCCCCTTGTTTTATATTTAATGGCTGGTGAATATGTATGGAACATCCACTATAGTGTCAGGCACAGTGCTTGGCTTTGTACATAAAACAGACTGATCAAAGGTATGGTTATAGAGTTGTTTTATTGACATTATTAAAATATTATAATTCATAAATTTTCTGTATTACCTAACTAGAATTAATAGCATGAATTTTGGCTTTTACATCTTACATAGTTTGTCCTGTTTCTTCTTATAGACCTAAGAATACCTAGCACAGTGCCAGTACATAATAGTAGCCAGCAAATAATTTGTTATTTGCTTGAATTTTAGAAACTATTTAAAATATGTGGAATATAGAACTCCATACTAGGAATTCACAGTTCAAGAAATAGATGACCAGAAGGGATATTGTATCTTTTATTTTAAATGTCTAACAGATGTCCACTTGTAGATCTGAGGAACATTTTGGTTCTTTACCCCACATCTTTATTTTATTTTCTAAGGTTCTGGATGTTGGTATCTCATCTAGCCTGATAGAGCGTTCTGATATGACCTTAGTAATAATAGATTATATAAAGCTGTGAGGGTAAGAACTGTTTTTTTTTCCTTTGAATATTCATTACTGGCTCATTTTCTAGCTACCTTTGTGCCTCAGCCATCTCTTTTGGTCTTCAGTTGTCATCTGAGGATGGTTTAATTAACAATGTTTTTACTTCACACTCTACCCTTGGGTCATTAAAAATTGTAATGGAAAATATGATAACAGGAAATAAATTACTTAAATCTGTTATTAATCTGAGTCTTAAATATGTATCATGGGATCTATACACATTGTGCTGAAAAATCTGAAAATATTTTAAACCCCATCTCATAAAAATTACATGTAACCAGTAATTAATGTATCAGGAACTTATAGCAACAAAATATTTAATCTTTTCTAATTATACTGCTTAAATTTAAATAGCCAACATCTTTTCTTCGACATTCACTTGATCACAAGATTTAAACCATCTGACTTGCGATTATTACGACATATGACATACCCCACAAGATATCATTTAATCAAGAGGCTATGGGCGATATCCAAAACAGCAATTTAAAAAAAAAAAAAATCCAGGCATCTTTGCTATTTATTAGGAAATTGGACCTGACGTGTCAAATGTATTCTTAGGAAGTCCGATTTTATTCCCATTTAATCAAATAACACTACCTGGCAGCAAGAAAAACACAAGGTGCCAGAGAAAAGCAAAAAGAATGAAGTTAGCATCTTGGTGTTAACTCCCAGGTACAGACCGCCCAGGTCGGGTAGCAGGCGCCAGGAGAGACCCGCAGGCGTTTCCTGGGCAAGGGCGCCGGGCAACAGGAACCCGGGGTCCCCGAGGGTTCGCCCAGGGCCTGAGAGGCGGGTGGGAACCGGCCACTGGGGCTCGGGACGCTGGCTAGCCAGGAGAGCGACCGCGCGGGACCTCCACCCTGGCTGCGGCCCAGGCAACTCCCGGCCTCTCGTGGCTCCGGGAGGGGCGGGGCGAGCGCGACAGGGGAGGGGCGAGCGCGGGGCCGCGCGCCGGCCGCTCAGCTCAGCGCAGCTCGGCTCGGGAGCGCGCGGCGCGGGCCCGCCGGGCTGTGGCGACGAGGCCGCGGCTGAGCGCGAGCGCCGCAGGTGACCCGGGCCGCAAGCTGGTGCGCGGGCGGCTGCTGAGAGAGACGCGGCGCTGCGGGTTGGAGGCGGACCCCTCGCTCTGCTCCTCTCACGGCCTGGGCGCTGCGGGCTGAGCAGACGCGGCGAGCCGAGGCGGGCGGAGGGCTCGAGGCACCCACTTGACGGCCGGCGGCGCCCGCGGCCCTCAGCATGTTCCGCGAGGCGAGGGTTGTCCTCCCGCCCGTGGGCTGAGGCGGCGGCGGCCACCCCGGCGAGATGCACCTGCGGGGCGCAGCTTAGAGGACGCGGCGGGCGGGAAGTGCCGGCCGCCCGCGGGAGGGCGTTCTTCGCGGGGCCGCTGCCTCCCGGGGCCGCCGCGGGCCCGAACCGGCGCGGCGGGGTGGGCGCCGCGACATGGCGGCCCGGAGCGCCCCGAGTTGCCACCTGCGGCTCGAGTGGGTGTACGGCTACCGGGGCCACCAGTGCCGCAACAACCTCTACTACACGGCGGCCAAGGAGATCGTGTACTTCGTGGCGGGGGTCGGCGTGGTGTACAGCCCGCGGGAGCACCGGCAGAAGTTCTACCGGGGCCACAGCGACGACATCATCAGGTACAGGCGGGGGGCTGCCGCCGCCGCGCTGCAGCGCGCGATCGAGTTTGCACCTGTCGGTGCTGCTGCGGGCGACGTCCCTGGGAGTGGGACCTGCAGCTGTCGGGTCCCGAGCCCACCCAGTAGGTGCTCTGCTTTCCCCCTCTTCCTATCTAGGGACCTTCTCGACCCTGTAGGGTCAGGTCCGCAGGTTCTCCGGGGAGTTCGGTTTGATGGCTTTGCAACATACACCCATCAAAATTATGAAAACTGCGAAAAGGGTATTTTGTTAGCACTTTTCTGTTTTTTAAAAAGTCCCCGGGAGATTTTTTATTAAACGAATTCTTCAAGAGCCAGGGGAAACATCCTTAATAGAGAACTCAGCAGAGCACCGCTAGCTGTCCGCTGGTCCTGGGGTGTGCCCCGGGGTGGCACGCTGGAAGGCATTCACCTCTTGGCCATAATTATTAGTTCAGGTTTCACTGCCTGCAATTATGAGCAGATAGGAAAGAAACCCAGCCAACCTCGGGCAATTCATTGGAGGTTAAAATTTGCGTACCCAAAGGCGGCTTTGGGTAGGTCTCATAAGCAAATAATTCCACTGGTTTCCAGTTCTCTTGATTCATCTTCATTAAGGTACTTCTCAATAAACTTACTTTCCTTTTTAGTTTATTTAAGTCACAGGTGTTGGATGTGTATATATAGTTTTATTCTTTCTTAAACAGTATCTTAAAGTTGGCCCCAGTGCTTGTTTACATTTCTTTAGTAACCAGTGTATTTTAAACGGAATTTTCAATTAATATCTCAGTAGAACTTTTGTGGTAAAGTTAGGAGCTTCAGCAATTACTCTGGGCTATTGATTATTGCCTCAAGCACAATTCTTGTCCTTTATGGAGAATTATATATTTAAAAAGATTTTGAGAATGTGTATGTGTTGGTTCTCAGTTTTTTCTTTATTGTTGTTGGGTTTTTTTGTTTGTTTGTTTGTTTGTTTTGGGAGGATAGTGGGGATTGAACTTGGGGCCACTGGACCACTGAGCCACATCCCCAGCCCTATTTTGTATTTTATTTAGAGACAGGATCTCACTGAGTTGCTTAGTGCCTTGCTTTTGCTGAGGCTTGCTTTGAACTCATGATCCTCCTGCCTCAGCCTCCCCAGCCATGCTTCTGGGTTTTTAACAGAGATTTTGTGTTTCAGTTTGGTAGCTTAATTTTATTCCTTTATGTATGTTTCACAGGATTTAAATCCACTATCTTGGTTTGATGTCTTGTAGGCAATAAGTTGTGGTACTTAAATTGCTTAAGTTGTTCTATTTTGTATCTCTGTATATCTATAATGTCTAGGAGGGAAAAGGAGTACTAGAACAAACCAAAGGTAGGACATGATGGAGTAAAACTAAAAACAAAAATTGAAATTGTAGAATAGGGACTAAAGAGTGTTTTTTAAAAATAATTTTTAAAAAGACATCAAAGTGAAAATTTTCCAGATTGTACCTAATGTATTGCTGTGGAAAGGATCTTGACAAGACATTTCATTTTCCTCAAATTAATATTTTTTTCTTTTCTTTTTTTTTGTAGTAGTAGTGATTAGGGTTACAAAACTAGTATAACTGTCCAAATTACTAATAAAACAGAACTCATAGTAATTATTTATGTAGTTATTCACCCCCAGAGGAGAGTTTACTCCAGTCCCCCGCCATCTTTTCAAGTCTCTCCTCCCCTTTTCCATGTATTCTGCCACCTAGAGCACCAGGCATCTTAGCTTTATCTAGATCAAGCAGTCTAGACTAAAGTCCTCCTCTAGATATTGTCAGTTAGGTTAAATTCAGTAAGTGGTGCTGGTGTGAAGGATATTGAGGTCTTTGTAGTGCACATGAATTTTTTCTCCTTGTTGATTATGACAGAAGTATGATACTAAAGCCTTCCAAAACTAGATATGATTGGGGTAAATTATGTCTCATTTATTCTTCCAGCAGTAATTAGAGGCTCTACTATATAACACACTACTTGAATTTTTAGAACTGGTCAATAAACTGTAAGGAAGGTAATGCCATTGACATCTTCTGAGATAGTTGCACAGTATTTATATCTCAAAATATTTCAAAATGACAAACATACTATAGTTTTGTATAATTAAATACATGCCTGATTTATGCAAATGTACATAATTAAATAATTTATAGCAATTAAGTTTTCTGAAAAGTTGCAATGAAGTAGGAAAATCTGAGTCATATAGCATATTGAAATTGGTGACACAAATTTAATATAGTACTGGGAATATAATTTAGAAATCAGTCAAAGGGCTCAGAAAATTTCATAGTCATTATGGAGATCGCTTTTGTTTGTGAAATAGAATAAACCAATTAAAAGTGTCTTGTGAAATAGATCAGGCAAATCTTAAAACTTGAATTTTTTTCAATTCAGTGTTTGACTTATAAGAAACTATTCCAGTAATTTTCAATCATATAACAGCAGAAGATGTAGCATTCACAAATGTGATGCTTTGTGGAAAAACAATGTTACTGTAATATAAGCATTAGTGAAATACTATTTTCATTATTGGCTTTGTTTCCATGTTTGCTTAAAACTTACTTAAAACTTATTAGTCAAATATGCCTTAATTTGGGTCTAAGTTTATTCCAAAATGAGCAGGTCATTGTCATTAGGATTTGAAAATGTTAAGTGCTGTATTGGGTGTAAAGATTGAATCATGACACTATTTCATTTGTTTAGTGATTCTCCTAAAATCTTCCTGTCATCTAGGATTGCCAGTGATGGTGCCATCTGACTTCTCATCATTTTTTCTGCATTACTTGTAATTGTCTTCTGTTTGCCATATCTCTGTATATACTATACTTCTGTAGTCACTTATCCTTTACTAGTATTTATTCCAGTAACTGGTTTATATATGGAAATAGACATTAGCATATCAGAAATAATACAGGACTTTCTGAGTTATTTTTCTATATATTCAAATTATGTTGGTATTATTCTCTAGTTATGGTGTGTTCACAACGTGTTTAAGACTGTTATAAAATATACTAGACTAGTACTAGTTTTATCATGAAGATACATATCAGTCGCCTGGACTGTATACTTTTGTCAGTTGTGTTCCCAGAGGATGTGATAGCTTTTAAAATTTATTTTCCTAGTTACTGCCTAATCACCATTTTTTTTGTAAGTTTGTTCTTATTGTAGCGGGTATTATCAAAACTTTTTAGATAATTTATATCAGTGAAGACCATTGATGTTAACTTGCCTCTGGTTATAGGGATGACCAGGACTCATTATTTACATATTTTGTAGAAATAAGATTTTGGAGTGCATTTTTTGTTGTTGTTAAAACATGGTGAATGTATTTCACAAAATGATCGGGAGTATAAATGACAGTGCATCTGAAATACTTTGAAAAGTATATCATACTATATGGTTGCAGGTTAGAATAATAATTATAATTCACTGTTTTTAGGTATGGCTTTTTTTTTTTAGAAAAAATGGTTGGTGTTGTAACTCTTTAATTGTGGTACATGGTATTCTTAAGAATTAAAACTGATCAAACCTCACTGTAATCTATTAAAAATATCTTGTGACAGCTCAGTATTTATGGCATAGGGAACTTCATTCAAAAAAAGTCTACTTGAAAAGGCAATTCAGAATAGATATTAATGTGATCAATATTTTTTGTGTGTTTATGTGGGTCCATTAGCAACTTTTTAAGATCTGGCAGGAATCACTGCAAACTTTCTTGTAGTCTGTTTGTTATTTCTCAAACCTGGCTGATCATTACAATAATTGGAAGAGAGCCGAGCTTGGTGGAACATACCTGTAATCCCAGTAGCTTGGGAGTCAGACAGGAGGATCTTGAGTTCAAAGCCAGCCTCAGCAAAACTAAGGCTGAGCAACTCAGTGAGACCCTGTCTCTAAATAAAATACAAAATAGGACTGGGGATGTGTCTCAGTGGTTGAGTGCCCCTGGGTTCAATCTTCAGTACCCCCCCCCGAAAAAAAAAAAGAATAATTGGAAGAGCTTTTCACAAATTTCCAGCTTTTCTCTCAGATGCACTCTCAGAACTCTCTAGGGTGGAAGCTGGGAATCTGCTCTTTAAAAAGTGCCTCAGATGCTTTTGGTAAGGAAACACACTGCCATCCTGTATTCTTAATATAAGCAGTTTGAGAAATGAGCATAAATTCTCCCCTCAAATCTGATACCAGCATTTTATTAAGCATTGAATAATCTGTAGTAGTAATTCAGAAAGTATTAAACTGTATACAGATTTAATAAAATGCCCCATGTTTAAGTAAATAGAACTAGATGAATTAGCTTTACAGCTTTATAATGATTCTGTTTAGTAAGACTTCCTTTTATGTGTCTGGATATCAAAATATTTATGCTTATTTACTTTTAAAATGCTGCATAATTTAAGGTATAAAATTAAGGTAAAAACTAGAAAATATCTAGTTGAGTGCAGTGGCACACACCTATAATCCTGGTGGCTTGGGAGACTGAGGGAGGAAGATTCCAATTTCAAAGTCAGTCTCAGCAATTTAGTGAATCTTTAAGCAACTTAGTGAGAGCTTGTCTTACAATAAAAAATAAAAGGGCTGGTGATGTAGTTCAGTGGCTGAGTGCCCCTGGGTTTAATCCCAGGTACCAAAAAAAAAAAAAAAAAAAAAGAATAATCTAGAACAAGAATCAAGATTGTCATAAATATGTATTGACTATATTTTTATTGTTTAATTAGAAAGAAAGCCAATTTTTTAGATTTGAATTTTAACTATTTTATTGCTTAATAATTCTTACATGAAATATGCCAATAATTAATAAGATAGAAGATCTTGGATATGTATTATGAAAAACATATGGAATGAGCTTTTAGAAGCTATTAAAAACTTACTGTTATTTCAAGGTTTCTCACTCATCACAGAAATATTTTTGAGCATCTTCTTTGTGCAAAGGTCCCTGACATAATCTCAGAGTTTAAAAATTCAATGAAGTACATTATCAATTAGAATAATATATG